GGCCTCTCAGCTCGGCCGCGGATCGGCCATCGCCCCCTCGCGGCCCCCCCAACCCCTCGCCGAGCCGTGGGATCGCATCGACGCGGCCTCGAATGAGGCCCAGACCCGGTGGGCCCGCCACGACCCCGCCCGACGGCCGTATTTCTACGCCGCGCACACCGCCCGCGATGCCCCGGCGAATCCGTACGCCTACAAAATGGGCTCCCCGGGTATTCGCATCGGCCCCGCCAGCCGTTTTCACCCGGAGGACGCCCCGACGGCGCTCGAAAGCAAGGAAGGGCGAGCCATGCGAGCCGCGCGCGCGGGGCCGGGGCCGAACGCCCCCTCGGAGGCCGAGAAAATGAACTATCCAAGCCCGAGGGCGCGCGCGGTTCGCGATGCCGCGTTGATCGCCCTCACCGGCGTTATCGAAGACGCGCTGAGGCCGGATGCGAAGGCGGAGGCGCCCCCGGGGGGTCTCCCCCGCGGGTCAGACCAAACCACCGCGGGAACGAGGGAACATGAGCCCTCGCACGCCGCAAACCCCGCGATCGATCGCATCGCGCGGATTTTGGTCAACCCAAGTGGGGGATTACTTCGCTTCCACCCGGGTTCGGCGAACCCTATGGAAAAGCGAAACACCCCCGCCCACGAGACCCTTTCCGAGGGCTACTTTGAGTCCTGGGCCCCGAACGACGGCGAGGCCGAACCCAAAGATTCCGACGCCCAATTCAGGAAGCAAAAGGAAATGTTGGAGGGTGTTCTGCACCGCGCCTGTTGTCGTCCGCTTCCACGCCGCATTCCCCCTCCCCAATCCTCGAAAACAAACGCCGACGAGGCGACTTTCGACGGCCCAATGCCCCATATCCCAACGACGTGGGAAGGCGTCTGTTATGTTCAGACGCGATTGCCCGACGCCGCGATTGTGCGTCTACCGCTGTCGGGGTTTCGAACCGGCGAAGATGCCAATCGTGATGAGGAGAAGTGGGAGGTGTGCCGATTAGCCGGTGGGGTGGAGCCCTACGTCAATTTTGCCGTCGGGACCCCCCTCGAGGAAGAAGGAGGGGCAAAGGCAAATCGAATTTCGCGCGCCCATCCATCAGGGGCAACCCCGGAGCGCGGCCTCCCGTTCGCGTCTCTGACCTGTCTTCTCCGCCTCCACGCGCGGACGGAGCGGACCGGGCCCCCGCCGATTCCCTCCCGAACGCAAATCAACCCCTCCTCCTCCGCCTCCTCGACGCCGGAGCCCTGGCGATTGGGCCGCGGGCTGGATGTGGGGGTCCCGGTGATCGTGCGCACCCTGTCGGAGTCGGGCGGCCTGTCGAAACCCCAGCCCTCCTCCTCCGCGACGGCGGATGGTTTTCTCGGCCAACCCCACGCGGAGACCTACCTTCTCCCCCAGCGGGAGCTGCTGCTCCGCCTCTTCGTCCCCCCGCGAACGCGACGACTGTGCGGGCGGCACAACCGCGATCGCCTCGAACGCCAAATCCGCGAGGGCCATTCCGCCCCCTCGGCGAGGGGCGTTCGCGCTGCGGAAAGCCCCGCCATGGCGGCTCGCGCGCCCGTCTGGGGGGGGGATCAACGCCGCACCCACGACCGCCTTCTCCGCGGGCGCTTTCAAACCGCGAATGCCGCCATGGAGGCGGCCGAATGGGCCGCATCGAAAACACCCGCCAAAGGAGCAAGCGGGGGATGGGAGGCGAAAGGCCGGGATGACCCCCCCCTTACCCCATCCGCGGCGGATGACGCTTTGACGAGCCATGAAGTACGCGCCCTGCCAGGGGATGTGGTGTTTATTCCAAAAGGATGGGCTTACACGGTGAGGCGGATTGTGGGTTCCGTCTTGCTGGACCAGGCGCATCGGGCGGATGGCTCGGGGGATTTAAGCCCGGCTCCCAACACGCCAACCATCAACGGCCACCATTCCTACAAAGTATTGCCATCTTCGGGATGGGCCAAAAACTATACCGCGACCTCGGCGACCCGAATGGCGCCTCAAACCGGTGATACTTCGACTTGGACCGCAATCAACGCATCCGATGAAGGTGAAAAAAATAATGATCTCAGGCCGAATGGCAGTCCAAAGGGTGAAAACCCTTTCACGGTGAACAACGTCGAGGTGGATGCCTTTTGTTTGCTCTACAAACCATATCCTGAGCTTTCTGAAGAACAGGCTCGCGTGTATATGCCAGCCAACTATACGCACCGTGGCGTGGAAGAATTTTACGAAAATGGGGGAAACCCTACCTACTACAAGTACGAATGAGAATCCACACAAAAATGATTTTTTGTAAAGAAGTGGAGAAATCGTACATGTTATCTCAGGTACTCATGATTCCGCGTCCGATTTGTATTCACCAAAAATTCACATAGATATGTGTTAAATAAAAGAACGCACATTTTTTTTAAAAAAGGAGGAAGATGTAAAAAATGGTGTGAACAAAAAAAAGGTGTATTCTTTTATGGTATTGTTAGCTATATCGCTCTTCTCTTCGGTTCCGCTCTTTTTGATTAGATCCATTGTTAGTTTTTTTGGATATTAAAGATCAACATCGAGTATTCTTTCTCATTAGTAGTATCATTAGAACCACACACACATATATATATATATATATATCTAAGAGACGTCTGACGCTCTATATTATCATAATCCCCCATGTTAAACGTGATCCATACAATTGAAGACGCGGTAGCCCGCGCCGCGGCCTTTGAGTTCCCGCTGCTCATTGTAGTCCACGCGGCGGCGGCTCAGGCCCCTCCCCGCGCGGAGGATCCCCGCGTGGGCCACAGCGCCCCCCNCCCCGNGGTGGGAGGGACGAAA